TACCTTCCTGTACTGGGTATCTCCCACAATCATCTCATCTGTTGTACTCTTAGGGTGTGTGCTCTTAAACAGTGCTCCATTTGATGCTGCCACAGTGTTCACTGTCTTGGCAGTATTAAGGGTCATGTCTGAACCCGTTACGCTGTTACCAGATGCTCTTTCTGTCATAATTCAGTCTAAAGTTTCCCTTGATAGAATAAATTCTTTCCTGTTAGAAGATGAGATTAAAAGAGAGGATGTTACACGATCTCCGGTTGGACACTCAGAAAATATTGTCAGTGTAGTGAATGGCTGCTTCAGCTGGGAATCAGAGCTTTTACTTAGAAACATAAATGTTCAACTGAGACGGGGTCAGAAAACTGCAGTCTGTGGAGCTGTTGGAGCAGGAAAGTCATCACTTCTCTGTGCCATACTTGGAGAAATACCTAAAGTTTCAGGAACTGTGAGTTATACATTAAAATTTATATACTGAAAATAACTCAGTTTTTATTCTATGTGATGCGATGTCCGACTTTGAATTTCTGTAAAATTTAGTCCTGCCATTTATGAGGGCATTCTTGGCATTCTGTATAGCAAAAATAATCCCTCAATACTAAATGGTTGTCTTAACATGAGAGACTGATTGTATCTCAACTAAAATGTCAAACAATTCAGGGACTAAAACTGCAACTTTCCCTAGTTTATCTTGATATTGCAGAGTTTTCTTTTTCTTTCTTGTAAACAGGTGAACGTGTTTGGCTCAATTGCTTATGTGTCACAAGCTTGCTGGATCCAGAGTGGAACGGTCCGTGATAACATACTGTTTGGGAAGTCAATGGACAAAGGCAGATATGAAGAGGCAATAAGAGTGTGTGCTCTAGAAAAAGACATCGATAGCTTCAGCTATGGTGACTTGACAGAGATAGGGCAGAGAGGGCTGAATATGAGTGGGGGACAGAAGCAGAGAATTCAGTTGGCTCGAGCAGTTTACAGTGATGCAGACATTTATCTTCTAGATGACCCTTTCAGTGCTGTTGATGCACATACTGCTTCATCTCTTTTCCATGTAAGAAATCTAATCCAACTCATATAAACATATATGCTTATTTGATTATTAACTGCACTTAAATGTAATTGCAGGAATGTGTTATCAATGCATTGAAGACGAAAACTGTCATTCTTGTTACTCACCAAGTAGAATTTCTCTCTGCTGTTGATCACATTCTGGTAATTAATGACAATTGTTGTAAACAGTCAGTTGTTGTTAACAGTCCCATGTCTAAATACTAATATCAAGGTCCCAGAGTATTTGTAGTATTTGTCCATTTTGATTTTGACTTTGATTATCAATAAAATATAAATTATATTGTATATTAGTACAAAATTAATTCTATTAAATTTATCTTGTGGAAAACTTTTAAAAACCTATTTCATTGTATTAATATGTAACAAAAATGTATGTAATTTATGATTAAAGTTTGTCCGGTTTAACTCGAAAAAGTCAAATTGGATGAATACTCTAGGACAGAGGACGTATTAGGAAAAGCATATGGGTTTATATGGCTCATTTGAACACACATAGTTGGGATTTAATCCTGTACTGCGGATTTGACTCATTTGCACACATAGTTGAGTGACTCAATTAAGTCCTGATTTGTACATCAGAAGTAATTTGTGGTTTAATACATCTAGGTACTGGAAGAAGGAGAAATCGGTCAATCAGGAAGCTACAATGAGCTGCTGATGAAGGGGAAGCGCTTCGAACAGCTCGTGAATGCTCACGAAAGTGCAGTAAATGCATTTGATCCACCAAAGAAAAAGATTGATCATATACCTCAGATTGATCGCGGGGGTGGGGGGCTTGAAGAGGTCAAAATGGACCAATTAGAAAATGAAGAAAATGGTCAGATTTCATTGAAGAAAGGGGCTCTTCAGCTAACAGAAAATGAGGAGAGGGAGACGAATGAATCTATGTGGAAGATAATCATGGATTACGTTTTGGTTTCCAAAGGATCCCTTTTCTTGATACTAAGCATTGTAGGTCAGACCGGTTTTATGGTTTTGCAGGCTGCAGCAAGCTACTGGCTAGCAATGTCCATTCAAAGCCCCAACATCAGTCATCTAATGATCATTGGAGTTTTTACTTTGATTTCTCTGCTAAGTACACTCTTTGTGTATCTCAGATCCCTATTTGCTGCTTTCCTCGGACTCAAAGCCTCAAAAGTTTTTTTCTCTGGTTTTTTAGACTCCGTTTTCAAGGCTCCCATCCTTTTCTTCGACTCTACCCCGGTTGGACGGATACTAACTCGTGTAAGATGAAGGCATATGCATTCCCTATCTCTCTCTCACTCACTCACACACACATACATGTTTTGCGTTGTTTTTTCCCTGATAATAAGTTCCCATTTTTCCCTCCCACTTCAGGCTTCTTCAGACCTGAGTGTATTGGACTTTGACATCCCTTTGACATATGCCTATCTAATGTCTGGTGTAATAGAGTTGGTTGCCACAATTTGTATTATGGCCTTCGTCACATGGCAGGTTCTCATTGTAGGCATCATAGCTACTGTTGCCTCCAAATATGTCCAGGTCAGATGTCTTCTCCTAACAATGTTGTAAAAGGAGAGCCTAGGTGGGCCCGAGAAGGGGTTAGTCGGGGTTAGACGAGTATATTCAGCAATGTCTACTATTGTGTAATGCTAGCTATCTCACACACTCACATCGGACAAATATAAAGATAGAAACCAACATCTAACACATTGGACTTCTCAAGATTGAACCCCGAATCTTGATATATAATCCCCATCCCCCCTGGATAATAAAAGTGTGCTTGTTTATGACTTTATGTTGGTATCTTTTTTTGGATGAAGGAATACTATCAACCCACGGCAAGGGAACTGATGCGGATCAACGGGACAACAAAGGCTCCACTAATGAGTTATGCAACCGAGACGTCACTTGGGGTTGTCACAATAAGGGCATTTGATATGGTAGACATGTTTTTTCACAACTATCTGAAACTAATTGATGCAGACGCAAAAGTCTTTTTCAGTTCAAATGGAGCTATGGAGTGGCTAATTTTGAGAACAGAAATGCTCCAAAATTTCACCCTTTTTTTTGCTGCTTTCTTCCTAATCGTAGTTCCATCATGTTCTCTCACTTCAGGTACTAAGGGTTCGTTTAGATCATTAGGGAAAGATCATAAAAGAGACTAGAAATCAATATATTTATTTTAGTAATTTTATGAAACTCCTTTAATTTTATAACTTATGCCTATCTCATTCTCATACAGACTGAAATTTATAAATAAAAGCAAACTTAAATAGAAAAAATCATATTTCAGTTTCAGATGCATTTGACAAGGCAAAGCAGGACAAAACCATTTTACTTATCATTTTTTATTTCCCCTTTCCTTTTATGTGATCCAAATATACCCTAAAGCTCAAGATCAGTTTCATAACTGCATCACCTCAGATGCATTATACTCTTTTAAGGTTTGCACCCTTTCACTGTTCAGGTCTCGTGGGGTTCTCTTTTTCATTTGCCTTGTTACTAACAACCACTCAAGTGTATTTAAGCCGGTGGTATAGCAACTTAGCTAACTATGCTATCTCAGCTGAAAGGATAAAACAATTCATGCATTTAACTCCAGAGCCACCAGCTGTGGTGGAAAATAACAGGCCAAACTCTTCTTGGCCTTCCATGGGTAGAATAGAATTTCTAGACCTGAAGGTATTTGCTATATAATAGTTTCTAAACCAACTGAAATGTTTCAAAAAGGACAATCGACACATAAGATTAGCACAATACCTTTTCTGAATGCAGATAAGATACCGTGTAAATGCTCCATTAGTCCTCAAAGGAATAACATGCACCTTCAATGAAGGGACAAGAGTAGGAGTTGTGGGGAGGACAGGAAGCGGGAAAACGACACTGATCAGTGCATTGTTTCGCCTAGTGGAGCCTTACAGTGGGAAAATCATTGTAGACGGTCTTGATATCTGCTCCATAGGCCTTAAAGATTTGAGGCTAAAACTCAGCATCATCCCACAAGAACCTACTCTTTTCAGAGGGAGTGTTCGATCAAATTTGGACCCTTTAGGACTTTACTCTGATGATCAAATTTGGAAGGTAAACTTATCTAGACAATCACCAAAATTTGATTGCTGCACGTTGCCAAAACTCCAAATTTGGATTGGCTTCGGATTCTCTGGAAGTGTGTGATTGCTTGGATTTGGAAACTCCATGAATTCACTGATTCCTGAGAAACTTCAATTCCTGGAATTGGAGGGATATGATGCCTCTCTCATACTTTGGGGATTTCCCACTGCACTGGATTTGGGTGAATTCCCATCATTCTAATCATGAGTTTATTCTGACTACCACCCAAACAATACCCTAAAAGTTCCTTTTTCAGGCTCTGGAGAAATGCCAGCTCAAGGATACCATTAGCAGACTTCCACACCTGCTAGATTCCTCAGGTTATTTAAAATTATAAAGTTTGTGCATGTGTCTGGATTTCTGTGATCCAAGATTTAGATGGGAGCATTTCATGCAGTGAATCATCACCAATTTATCATCATCATCATGTACCAATGATCTTGTTTCATTTGGATTTGTTGTCATATAAAAACAGTGAGTGATGAGGGCGACAACTGGAGCATGGGACAACGCCAACTGTTCTGCCTCGGAAGAGTACTTCTGTTCTCCTTGTCTTAGAATTAAGACCTACTCCGTTGCCGAAGGTAACTGAGTCGATGTCTAAGGTGAAACGTCTTTTAGTAGTCTCTTCTTAAAACGTTAACGTGTCAGTAGTGACAACGAGTAGCACAAGGGTGACAGTATCTGTGCGATATGGTCCTCCTCCTCTCTTTTGGTAAGCTCTTCCCATTCCATTAGACACATATATCATATTCCTTTCCATTCGAGTTCAGGTACTGACCATCAGACAAAGAAAACCCAGCCAAATGCCATAGGCCTGCAACTTAAAACAATAAAAGCGCTATGTTTTTCCAAATGTTTCTTGCAGGGAATCTCGTTGAATATGATGAGCCTTCAAAGCTTATGGGAAGAAATTCTTCATTCTCGAAACTGGTAGCTGAATATTGGTCCAGCTGCAGAAGGAATTCCCAGGAGGAGCTCAACCACTGAGATCGATACTATTTAAGATGCAGGCTATAATAATATGCCAAAAGACCAAAGAGAAAATAGAACATGTTGATTTACTTTGGAGGTACCAATGAAATCACTGTGTAAATAGTCTGCCTTGTATACAGCATAAACCATTATAAGGTTTTATTATCATTAACAAATTTGGGAGAAACTGGTCAGGACTTGGCTACAAATGCTACTAATTAATCAACACTCTAATTCTCAGATTGAAGAAGCAAGAAAGATGACAAAATAAATATCATATTCATATTCATATTCCACCTGCTCCCTTCATGAACCACATCAACCTTAAAAAGTTTCGCCATGAATATTCTTCAGATCCAAGATGTCCAACCATTGTTTCTGCATCCATTACAGTCTGCTCAGGATCTAAGGACACACACACACACAAAGAGCCACAGTATTTGCAAGATTATTTTCATGGCTTCTGCCAATCAATGTCTATATCTCCAGACTCCAGAAAAACTGATACAGTGATATTCCTTCACCAAAATCTCCAAGGATCTTTGTATGGAGGAACATATCTTTCTGTTGGAGGGAGAAGATGGAAAGAAGCAGCACTTTTTTCTAAGAATGGTCCCATCTGCAGCAATCACTGTCATGTCAAATTCAAAATTGAAAACAAATCTATCTGTTTTCTAGTTCCCTAGTTTATTAAACCAAAGATCCTGCATGCTTTAAATGATGGTGAAAATGATTTTACATACTCCCCATGTCCCGAATAAATTTCTCACTATCCTTTTTGGATCATCCCAAAATAAGCTTCTTTTTTCCTTTTAAAGGAAAAAACTGTGTGGCTCATATTATTTCTTTTTCCTTGGCTTAACACTATGTTTGGTTCAAGGAATTTGCGAGGGAAAAGAAAGGAAAATAAGATGTAAAGCAAATTTTCATGTTTGGTTAGAAAGAAAAAAGAAAAGAAAAGTGGAAGGAAAAGAAAATGAGAAGGCAAGATAGGCTAAGAAGAAGGAAAACTGGATTCCTTCCACTTTGGTGAGGAAAAAGAAGATAAATCATTTTCTTTTCCTTCCAAATTGCCTTGAACCAAACATAGGGTAAATCTCAACCACACAATTTCACTTTACTAAACCTCGTGCAAAAAGTTAACAAGATGTTTAATTTGGCACGGAGGGAGTATAGTTTGGATACCTAATAATTTTATCAAACTAACGGTAAATAGAACAAATGCACATTTACTGTCAGAATGGATTTGTAATCAGAATTCAACACATTCAAACAAGAAGGCTTCACTAGAAGATTCATGTTATATAATAGCTCAAGTACTTACTTCGTTCCATTTATTATTAAGTGTTGAAGCTGTGAGGGTATATAGGTAACCTGAAATGCAGCAGAATACTGTATCAAAAGTTAAACCAGAAAACATAGAGTAAATTTTCATTTGAAGGTATGACCCTTGTGGCGAGACACTTCCTCGGACTCTTATACTTTGTGAGCTGGACTGCCCTTTTTTTAAGGTGTGACGATAACTTGCAAGTACTAAAGCTCAATCTTAATGATTCTTTTATGCAGGAAAATAGGTAGATTCAGATTATTATCATTAATCCAGGCAGCATTTATTGGTACTTCTTAGAGACTTCATTAATCAACAAGGATGAAAAATAAATAAAATACGACAGAAGTATTTACATTTTCCAAATAAAGATGTCTCTTTCGAATATTGATAGGAGATATCTTTCCACCGCAAAAAATGGAAAGCATTATTCAGCTCCTTTATCATTAAAAAGGAAAGTAGAAAAATCCCATTTTCATCGTCGATTCGTCGTTGGTTCGTTCTTTTTCTAATATGAATTGCTCGTATTGAATATTTAACCTAGATGTGAAATATTAAAACAAGAGAAAACATATATTATATCTATAGAAGCAGCTTCTTGAAATTTTAAAATATACAAGAACATTTTTTATTCAAATACTATACAAATAAGACCATTAACAAATGCTTAAATCAAGCCATTCAAAACCAAAGTGAAACTTAGGGTACATGTGAACTAAATTCTTACCATCTCGTTCAGCTGTTGAAGCAACATAGTGGCGGAAAACATTTGATTCTAGAGCCTGGATTCATTCAGTATTAGGTATAATAGTAATTGGACAACATTAGGTCATTTAGTCACATCGTTTCTAAATTATGAATGAAACTCACGGCATTGGTTGGTGATTTGCGAACAAGGTACTCAAAATACCAATATGGATCGCCATCAATCTAATATCAAAGAGACTCACATAAGGAAATATCATCCAAAACATTAACCTAAGAAATAGTAAAACAAAACTAGGCACATCTTAAACAAGAGAAAAGGATAGAGAAATAAAACTTACATGGGAAGAATGTGCATCAAGAACTGAGCTCCCAGCCAAACGTTGACTTGCAGTTACCCGCTGGTTAAGATTACAGAATGTAAGTTTTTGAAGAATAGTAAAAGAGATTGACCAAACTGGGAAGTAAATACTCTTCTTCTTTTTTAAGAAATAAGATTATGTAATAATACATAAAAGGTCAAGGAAAAAGGAAGTGTCTATTGGTGTACAGTGTACAAAATTGCGAAATACAAAATATTCAGTATAAAACTTGAACTTATGTAGATATGCTTTCGTTAAAAAACTCAGAAGGCATGAACTATCCATGTTACTTGTCAGGAAGGGGAGAAACCAGTTCTTAAGGATCCCTCATTGTACTGGTATTGTTAGAGCTTGTTTAATACAAATTTAGCACTACAAAAAGGTTCTTACAGCCCTTGAACTTATGCATTCTAGACTCAAATCCAATCCGAAAAAACAGAAAATCGATGGATTTTCAACTAAGAAAAAGGCACAGGATGTGCGCCTCATTGAAACACGTAAGTGTTGGAACACGGGTTTACGCCTATGTCGTACTAAGCCGTGTTCGTCTTATGACACGTTTTGATAATGCCAAACCGCCGTGACCATAACAAGGCTAAAGTGAGCAAAACCAAGGCAAAGGAACATGGCATGATGATTTGAGAACCAAGAACCAAGAATCAAGAACGAAGAATTAGAATTGTATTGAGTCGGTCTTAATGTGATCAAGACCGGCACAAACTTTCAAATCTTGGCTCTCTAGGCCTCTCTCATCAAAATATCTTTTGCATATTCAAAAATGTTTTTCTTTAGTTTTAAACTGCCTAAAAACACTTGGAGTTCGCCCAAACCAAAAACCAAGCCATCCGGCGTTCGGTCTTCGGAAACCGGCGTTCGGCTTTCGGTTATCGGCGTTGGTTTTTGGCGTCCGAACCAACCAAGTGGTTTTCAACTTTTAATGATTGGTTTTTACTTCTGGGCATGTTTAAATAGTTCTCCAACAAAAACGCTTCAAAAACCACCTTTCGTTTTTGGTCGTTTAGTGAAAACCATGCGAAACGGCGTAAACTTGGCTAGCCGTGGTTTTCAACTAAATGACGTGGTTTTCAAAATGTTTTACTTGATTTCTTAGCAAAATGCATTAAACAAACATTTTCAATACTTGGTTTT